TTCAAATTTTGTAATACTTTGATCCCTTATGGTGATAAATTAATTTGGGCAACATCCCATGGTTATTTCATTGTAGTTAGTAATCTGGACTTGACAACCATGTCCGAGCCAACATTTTAAACAAATTGGGACTCTCTGCTGACTTGGACATGATTCTCCCAGAGGATTCCAACCTATAATTTGAGAATTTGAGAACCTATGCATACGTCACATCACAATTTAGTAGAGGTAGTCCTTGTTTAACTACCATTTAGTTACAGCAGTTTGAAAAAGTAACTTTTCGAGCAATTTTCACCTTTACAACCTTCTACAGTCTGTAAAGCAAAGGAAAACTTAAGTAAGATCATTAACACAGTTGCAGTTTCACTTAGTGACTGCTTTGCTTGATGACTGAGTTGCTAGTCTCAATTATGATTGCTAAACCATGACTACCAGGACTATTGGCTAAAAATAGACCGGTGGAATTAAGTTTCTTAACAAAAAAAACCTGTTCTATGGCTTACATTAAGCATGACTTAGAACAAGGCTTTTCAACCAGTGGTACGGGTACCACCTGTGGTACCTTGGCACCTGGCAGGTGGTATGTGACTATCCGGGGGAGGGGAATGAGCTGAACCGGTGGCAGCACCGCACAAGTCTGAGCGAGAGACGGCTGGAGCTGCAGGGCTGTCAGGGCTCAGCGGAAGCACCAGGATCAGCGCCAGGCTCCAGCTGGAGCTCGGCGCTGATCCTGGCGCTTCTGCCGAGCCCAGAAGCGCCGATCAGCTGGAATGTTGCAGCGTCTCCAGGGTCTTGTGATTTACATTCAGATGCTTGGCAACTGATTCATATTTATGACGGTCACAGTGTCCCAGGGTCATGTGAAGTGACCAAAACCTGCTGCACCCACCCAAACATCCACCCCACCCCTGCTGCCAATCCTCAACAGAAATGCTCACAACAATGAAAACCTCAGACAGGAGGAAGAGCGCCGCCGGGCAGGCAGACAGGTGTCTTGCTCGGCTTGGGGGGCACTTTTTTCAGGGCCATTGTAACTTCGAACAGTCACTAAGCGAACTGTTGTAAGTCGAGGACTACCTGTACTTCATCACTTTTTTCCTTTTTTTTTTTGGTTATCAAGTTTTTGACACCTTGCTAGGCGACTGGTGGTACTCAGATATTGCCATATCCTAAAAGTGGTACAATGGGTGAAAAGGTTGAAAAGCCCTGACTTAGAAGTCATGGTTAAATACTTCTAGTCCTTCTTCCAAAATGATGGGGGTATAAGAGCGTTTACTAATTTGTAATGCTGTTAATTAATAGCTTTGGTGGCTCCATTTTGCTCTCACCCTATGAAATTCTCTTTTGAAATCAAAGAGTGGAAGAAAGATTATCTCCCCTTATATCAGTTTTTATGGTCTTCCTATCAGTCCACAATGGTTATTCAAATTGTTTTTGAGAGCAGGGAGAAGGAATAGAAAGACTCACCCAGCTGTAAAATTAATGAAATACTGACTAAAGGAAAGGAAGCTGATAAAGTCATCCCTGTTTGCTAATTATTTCAAGAATTTTCAGTAAAGAATGCTGTAATACAATAGTAGTAAATATTAAACATAGGACTACCATATCTGAACTGCAAAATCCAGACAACCACTAAATGGAAGCAGAGATCTAAAATGTACTCCGTTTTTATTTCCATTTAAAGATACAATAACACAATTTTGCAACCCAAGTATGCTTGTCCTGGCTAAATTATACTTAGTGTGTTCAGAAAATAAGCGAACAGATAAATGGGTAAGATGCATAAATTCATTCAAAAGCTTAGAACACCACAATGCTAGAAACAATAATTGCATGAAGATTTGTTTCTGGGTTCCATGCAAATACGTTTCTTGAAAGGATGCACAGCTGATTTGAACACATGTTTACAGAAAGTCACAGTCCCCCTACAGGCCAGAGTAACCATCTAAAGAATTAGTATAGTATCATACTGCTTCATTTATTCATTGTAATTATATTAGAACAACTATCATCATCTTATATATTCCCTGAGGTATTTTTGCAGTTTCTAGAGATTTACAAAAAACAAATAATAAAAAGTTATGTTATGTATGCTTATTTTTTTCCTTTTTTTATGAGCAGAGTTTTCAAAGTATAGTGATGAATCTGGTACCTGCAGATGTTCCATCTCTGCATGGGATTTATGATACTTTTAGAAGGATGCTTTTGAATCATGCTGCTTTAGCCATACTGTGCTCCCTTTGGTTGTGTGTGCTGTTGCAACACATACACAAAAAAGGGACAGGCCTTGCAATACAATGCTGCAGCAAACTTTCATCTATCTGACCCTCCTTTGCCTAACCCTTGTGAATGCCATTGGAAGTTGTTTATCTGATTAACTAAAATAGATTTTTCAAATTCACAAGGCAATTATTATAAATAAAAGATGTAAGAATAATTTCTCCCTTTTAAACAATTCTTTCTCAAAAACATCAAGATGGCAGAGATTAGGAAAGCTTTATTTTTAAGATCTAAGGATGTCAGTATTCAAATTATCATTGTCATAATATAGTGTTATAGTTTTTCATGAAAAATAGGCTACCTGCTCCAACATCATATTCTAGTTTAAAGTAAAAAAATACCCTAGAAACTTGTTTTGGAAGAAAGTAATTATTAGATTATTCTAGTTCTAATAATCTATTGGTATATTTTCAATATTCAGTGGGTCCAGAGAACAGCCTGTACTTGCCTCTATCTCTCTTATTTTTAAAAGCCATGTAAAGATTTAGGAAAGCTCTGGTAATTTGACCCAAAAGCCTCTTCTCATTTATGTTCTCAACAAACAAGAGAAAATATCTGCATGTGATGATTTGGAACTCTACCATACAATATTAGCTGAAATATATCTATGAAGGAGGAAGTCTGAAGTAATGTGGCAGAGCTGGGACAACAGTATACCCAAGAGCCAGGATACGTCTTTGGGCTATGAAAACCAGTTACTCTTCTCAAGTAGAAACATTCTTGCTACAGTTTTCTCTTTTGCCCTCTTTCAAAGCTTTTGTGGATAGACAGACTAGAGCTCCATAGTCATAGACCTAATTAAAAATTTGCCAGAAGGATGAATTACTTTATCAGGGTATGATATGAATAGGAGGCAAGAATCTAAGGAAGATAAGAGACCCATATTTATAATTCTCTTTCTCAATATTCATGGATGTTAACTAAGGACAGCATGGCATCAAAGGGCCAAGGTTCAAAAGACTGTTGCCTGAGGAAGAAATTTTCTTGCTTTGGAGCAGTTTTATATCATGTGCTATTTGGTTTTCAAGATGTAAAATTCTTATAAAACCATCATGGTTTGTTTTTTGTTCAACAATGTTTAAATGTGGCAGAAGAAAAAGAGGCAAACTGAATACCCCATGCCAGTTGAAATCTACACTTCTATTCTATGCCTCTATCACAGTTAAACTTTGAGCTTGTGATGGAAAATCTGATCAAGTAAACTTTTCCATACTTGCTTTCCTAAAGCCAACTCTTAGAAGAATGTAGGTTTAAAGCAACTATATTCTTCTAAGATCAAAATGTAATTCTAACACAACCTATGTGACAATATACGCTGTAATTTACCATTTATTTATTTATTAAATTTCTATGCTGCCCGTCTCCCCTACAAGGTGACCCTGGGCAGCTTACAAATGATTGAACAGGTGAAAAATAATCAAAAGATTAAAATGAATCAACATTAAAATATTATTAAGAACTATGCCTATAAGAGCCAAGAGTCAAATGGGACAGGAATGAGATCTTCTTACTCTTCAGCCACCTCCAACAGTGAGTGCTCCAACTCAGGGCACCAGGCTAATTGGCAAAGCCAAGTTTGGATACCCTTCCGGGAGGCCAAAAGCGAGGGGGCAGTTCTCCTCTCTAGTGGAAGAATGTTCCACAGGGATGGGACCACAGCAGAAAAAGCTCTTCTCCTTGATCCTGCCTGCTTCAATGTTAGCAGATGGGATCTATAGCAGACCTCCTCCATTGGCACAAGTGGAGCAGGCTTGTTCCATCAGGGAAAGACAGCTCCCCAGATACCTTGGACCCATGCCATGTAGTAAAGGTAATGACCAAGATCTTGCTTTGTAAATTCTGCTTCAAGCTTAAGACATCTCTTTCCATCTGCATGAACTCTGAATTCCTTATTGGAAAGTCATGCTTGATTAACTAATTCTCAATATTCTTCCTCATTTGGTGAGATGTTCTATCTGTCAACTGGTCAGCCTTTCAAGCTAAGGAAGGGTCCATGAAATTCAAATAATAATCTTTTGACAAATCCAGAGGTTCATCAAGTACTACCTTCACTAATGGCTACCTAATGTGGTTATCCACAGGCAGCCTAGGAAAAATACAACTGATTCAGTTTTGAGCATATCTAAAACAAACTCAGGAAAATAAGTTAATTTTACAAACCTATCGATCCTTTGTATCATACCCTGATCTAAACAAGACACATCAAATACATTCCCAAAAGTTGCACCAGTGTATAGCAAAGTAAGTGATCCTAGGAGTTGCACAAAAATATCTGAAGAATACCATTTTCCCCCATTTGCCTTAGCAGAAGAAATAGTTTTTTTCAATACAGTTTTCTTGGCTTTTTTAGTTTTATAAATGTGATTCAAATGAAAGATTTTATTTCATAATGAACTTGCAGGACACTGATGCTAAAAAAAATCTAGGGGTAAATGCCCATCTTCTAGACAAAGTGCAGTGTTGAAACCAAACCAAACAGACAGTTACTTCTGGATAATGGATTTCACTCTCTTCTTCATAAATATTAAAAATGAAGAAATATAGTTCCCTCAACTTTTTGCTTCTGGAAAAACAATATTGCTGAACTCCATGAGGAGGCAACTGACCTCCACTTAGGCCTGACACGAAACTAACAACAATATGGGGATGGGGATGGGAGAAATTTGAAGGTCCCCTTGGTGTGAGAAAAGCACACACAGAGATAAGCCAACACAGAGGACTTTTCTATAAACACAGTATACTTTAATTTGTCCAAAGTCTTTAATGCCCCACTGGATAGCTCAGTCTACATGGCCTCTTGCCCAACTGGAGAGAGTACTGCATTTTTGATCCCCAAATTATCCCCAAATCATTGCTGCAAGCAGCAGGGTTTATTGTCTGCTTCAATTTGGAAGGCCAAACTCAAGAGCCAATAGTTGTTTTGTGTCATATGAGCACAAAGAACATTCTGATTCCTCCATAAATCTATTCAAATCGTCACAACGCAATAAGAAGCAGAAGCTGCAGAGAGAAGAAAATGGAGTCAAATGCTGAGCCATCAAGATACAGTTTGCTGTTTCAGCCTTCAATGCAAGGAAATCAGAGCAGAGAGAAGCTCTTAAACCCAGGACCCTTTTGTACAGTCATACTAGGAAACAAAAGCAGAATCTGTATTAGAAAAATTTGACGCCCCGACCATCATTCAGAGTGAATATTTCAGCTTTATGTTCCTGTTGTAAAGCCTGCAGAGCTCGAAGAAGTACTAATTCTTCCAAACCATGGAATTCTAGAAGAGAATAAAACATCCTTGGTTGAGAGAAAGTCACCCATGATTTATATACAATATAATACAAAAATTTGGTTGAGGACAGAACTGGTGGCAACTTACCCAGCAATACAGAGAATGCAAAAAAGATATGTTGCTAATTCTCTGAATTTGTATATACACAGCAGCATTTGCATGAAATGCAATATTCAAATAATTCTTTTAAATATCTAATGTTTAGTATTATCAAGAAAGGCTTGATATTCTATGAGCAATGCCAGACAATGTTCACAAAGTTTTGTTCAGTCATGCTGAGATATTCTTGCCTTTCGAAGGCTCATCGCCCCAGTTTAGGACAGCATAACCAATTCAGTTATTTAATATTTAGGCAAAAGAATTTATTTTCCAACCACATATTATGAGATATTCACCCATATTGCAAATTTACTTTCCAACCACAGTCTGTAGGCTATCTTGTTGCTTTGGCATAAGAATGTTATACAAAGTGCAAAAAAGGACTATCTTTGGATGACCTGTTGTAGAAACAGAATGGGGGTACTATGTCCATTTATTTCTTTGTTCGTTTAAATTTATATGGCCACCCATCTCATAAGTGGTTCAGGGTGATGTACAGCAAAAAAAAAAAGTATAAAAACAATATACCTGCCAAACATACTTGTATTTTTTTTAAAAAAACAAAAACAGTCACAGGAGATCTTGCTGTTCTTGACTTTCAGTAAATTCCATATTATTGATCATGTATTCTTCCAGATCAGCCCTGGGATTTGGGGGTGGGTGGCATGGTTCTCTACTAGTTCTCCTTCTTTTGGGGTTAGGTCCAGTCAGTGTTGATTGAGAAGGAAGATCAAGCCACAGCCTCTACTCTACTCTGTGAGGTGCTATAAGGTTTGGCACTCTTTCCTCCTGTTTAACATCTGCATGAAGCAACTGGATGAGGCAATCAGACAGTTTCAGGTGAGATATAAGCGCTTAGCTTTATATTTCTACTCCAGGTCACCTGAGTGAAGCTATGGAAGTTCTGTCTAAATGCCTAGAGGCCATGGGGGCCTGGATGGGACAGCTCAACTCAAGCAAGACTAAGTGGATTTGGGGTTTTGGACCTTCTGGTCCCAGGACCCGCCATTTTTAGTTCTGGTGGAATGGCACTGCTTCAGATAGAGCCAGTACCTGCTCTAGGGTCATCCTGAACTCACAGGTCCTACTAAAAAAAAGTGACAATCATTGCTAGAACTTTTACACACTGGGCATGGGCAATTAATGGCACTGACTACCTGAGCACATCTGACAGTACTGTTCTGCAAATTGCACTGGCTACAGTTTACCTGCGTGCAATTCAAGATTCTGGTTCTTTCTTTAAAACCCTGAGTAGGTTAAGGCTGTATATATTTTCTATTTAATTTAATATAAATATAAATTGTAAGCTACTCAGAGTTTTGTACTTGATATGGACAGCCATATAAATCAATTGAGACAAAGAAGTTGAGTCCTCCTGGACTCACATTTTCTGCTTTAATGGCAGAAGGCTGCTGTTGCCAGGAAAACCTTTGCACAGCTTCATAAATAATCCTACTTGTTAGGATTACATACTGTAGGTAGATTGTTGCAAAACAAGCTTAGAAATTTCAGTTCCCAAATTGTCTTTCTTTTTTCATTACTTAGCATAGCACCAATGGAACCAAAATAAAGGCATGTTCATTGATCTGGAACACAGTCCAAATAATGATCCCTACCCCGACATTTCATTGATGAATGGAAACAAATTAATCAGAGAAATATTCCGGGTTTGAATCCAGTTTGTAAGAGTTAAAATCCAATTAGATTTAAAAAATATGAAGTATATACTCTGCTGTTCTGAAAACTGTCTTCCATTTGCTATAAGAAACTTAAATCAATTTTTAAAAATTCAGCAGGAGAAAAATGTGGACAGCAAGAAAGGTTCTCTGGATTAAAAATGAGACAGAAGAAACACAAACAATTTATGTCTCTTTCGACACTGTTACATATCACTATAATGGAAAATGCACCTTCTTCCTCTGTATCCTCGCCATTGGATAACTCATAGAGTGTGAAAACCGAGTTTGTCAATCCATTCTTCAAAACCTGGAAATGGGGAGGGAGCAGGTAGAGAAAGCAACACTTGATATTTGATACCATTATAAGTTTTATATTCCAATTTTTTTTGTTCTGCTAAGGATATTCACAACAATTCAATATAAATAAAACATGAAAATATATAATAAACACTGTAAGAAATAGATTATTACATCTTGGCAATAAAATATACCCCCAAAATCTGGAAAACAATTAAATCAACTGAAAAAATCAAGTGCAAAGAAGCCTCCTGAGAAAACCATTATAGAATTGGGAACAGCAACAAAAAAACCTTTTTTTTTCAATCAGTCAGCATTTTAACTTCTGAAGACATGGCTTTAGGATAAAAATCTGATATCAATCTCATCTACACAGACTCAGATGAATAAAAGCTATTGATATTTTTTTTATTCCTATCCATGTATTACTTTAAAAGATAAACTTTAGCATTATGAAATATACTCAGAGACAAGTTTCCTGTGAAATGATTAACAACTTGACAACTACCATAGGTTTAACATTAAAAATGTTGTAATATTCAAGATTTACAAAGCTATACATGAAAAATAATATAAAGTTTGCTTGTTATGATTTCAGGTATTTTGTACTGTCACAGCTGCACAAAATTCCAGGAATTCCACATCCTAGACATCTAAATTTTCATTTAAAAATATGATAAAAGGCAGAACACTTTTGTGCTGTGATGGTGGAGATATGATAGAAAAGAATTGTGGGCTCCTGCTGAAATTCAGATTCTGGGAAGAGAGAAAGGAACTGTTTCAACGTATCTTTACAAAATCATTTTCTACCAAAGCTTAATTAATTTTGCACTGTTACCACAAAAAGTATTGCTCTTACCCATTGGTAAATTAGCTTGCCCCATTCCTCTGGACATCGCCACAGGATAAGAAAGCTAGACTTGTTCTTGTCAAGCCATTCAAGATTCCCTGAAGTGAAACATAAAATATCTCTATTATCAATGTGTTAAAAACATCCTTTTTAAATATAAATAATGGATTCAGCCCTAGCTATCCCAGCAGCCTGATTTACCTCTAGATAAGACTGCATCCAGTCCCTTAAGGCTGCATGTTGTGTCACACCTACTTTGATGTTAATCTTAATGAAATGAAGGAGACACATATATCGCCAGTTAATTATATTTATGATTAGATAGGCATGTTACCCTCAAACCTACCTTTTTTCCTGAGCTCCTCTAACACAACAAGGATGGATTCCAGTGGGAGTTTTCCTGTTCCATAGTTAAGAAAATACTAAGCACAGGATAAAATGTGATAAACTACTTAACTCAAAAGAAATTCAAGATTTGGGACTGCAACGTTCAAGATATTAATGTAGCCTCAAAAAATCACCATACTTGTGATGCAGCACATACTATAATCCTCCCATCAAATGCACCATGCAGCTAATAACCATGAGTAGTATTCGGCCATAGAACTAGAAGGAAATGAACAGGCTATTTATGTAGCCCAGAATGTTGACTGTATAAGCACATCAAGAAGGTGGCAGCAGTTGTAATTAAATTTCATTATATAAGATGTTGATAAGAATAAAGTATCTGAAATTCTATGGAAAATTCCTATTAGGAAAAAAACAGTTTCTTTTAAAAATTACAGGAACATCAGAAAATTTAGTAATCAATACCTTAACAAAACCAAATTTAAAAGCACTGTAGTGGAAAATTATTTTCTAGTAAAGCTGTTGTAAAGAAAGCATTTATACTTTTTACAGTTAACAGTTAACTAAAACTAAATTATAGAAAATTTGATATGTAAAATTCCTCATCAAATGGAGAGGTATTCTGTATAATTGTGTAATCTTTTCTTTTCCAAGCCACCAATATAATCTTGCCAACAATAAGCATCACCTGAGCGTTTTGTTTTTAACACAGCCTCAGGGAAATCAATATTAAGGCATTTTATGTGACTTCAGAGCAGAAAATAGCATTTTTAAATAGAAATTAACATCAAAACATCTGTAGAAATTAAGAACTTATTTTCCTCAGTGGAACTTAAAAAAACCTTGTATTATTCTAACTTAAGGTGAAGCAAAGCGGTTTACTTAAAAAACAGAATTATTTTAGAAGGCAGGTCTATTCTATGTACTTTTCACAAATCATGTAATCCTATATGTAGGACCATACCAATAGCACATTCGGTTAATGCTACAAGCTCATATTGCTTCAAACTTGAACTTTTCACTGACAAAAAAGCCAATTCTTTTATCATCAGGAGTTGCATGAATTCCTTGTCATCTCTCCAAGGCAGGTCTTGAAGACTCATGATAGTAGAGGAAGGATACGCTGCAATTTCCAATTGTTGAACAGTGGGCTCTCTTGAGCCTCTGGAACAGTCATAGTATAGAGCTTGTTGAGGCGGCAATACGAGAGCACTAAGGAACACCATGCTGTCAGCTGTTTTTGCCTTGTATCCACGTTAGGCTGCAACCTAAAGCACAAAAGGAAACAGATGTAAAAGAAGCTGTCATCTCAGAAGCTCAGTACTTTTAACTGCCAAATGAGAATCAAGAAATAGAACTTCCAGAATCATACCCCAAATTTTGTCACTTTACTGAAGATTAGATACTAAATTGACTAAAAATCTGAATAAAATCATCCAACTTCTCAAATTAGTCCTGTTGTTTTAAATAACCCAAGTTGAAATTTCCATAATTGCCAACAAAGCTATATATTCTTTGATTTTTCCAAACATCCATAAAACAATTTATCAATTTGATTTATAATTTTTAATAAGATTGTCCAGAGTTAAATAATTTAACCAACCCAGTTTTTATAGGCATGATTGCCAGTTTAATCAGCCTAAAATACTGACATGTTTTGCAGCCATTATCACCCAAATATTGTCATGGATCCAACAGTCTGACTGGAAATAGTCCAAATTTTTTTTTTAAAAAAAAGGAAAATGGTGTTAGCAACCATTGGTGTTATCAATTCAGATGAGGATTTGGTGAGCAAGAAGTATTTTATGTACTTCCTTTTAGCGGTTTTTTTTACTGTTTTTCTAACTGATTGTGGCTATCAAAGGATGGTGGCAAAAGGCTTCTCCAATTTATCATCTATTTGAGGCAGGTGCTGAATCCAAAGAATTAAACTTTATAACTTTCATCTATTTTTCTTATCTCTGAGAATGTTCTTGTTCTCTGGATTCCCTCCTCTTGTCTCCAGTTCCCTTTCCTTTATTTTTCAGTTTTGTTTTTAGCTCCAAGGCCCCAAGTTTCTTCCCAAATCTTTTGTTATTTCGTCACTCCTTTTTTTCTGCCTTTTTTTCTTTTATGACAGTTTATCCTTGGTTAATGATGTCTGCAATTAACTTAATGGCTGAATCTTTCTAATGCCACGATGTTCCCAGGTAGTTGATTCTTTCTCACAATTTCATGTTCTTCCCTTTTACTATTTATTTGGCAGACAATTGCAGCATCACCCTATATCTATATCCTTTAACAATTATTTAATATTCTCCCTAGTTTATTTCCCTCTTTTCAGGTAGTATTTCCACCTCATTGTATCACTCATTGTATCACTCAAATTCTATCTACTAGTATGGAAATATTAGCAGGAGAGAGATCTGTTTTACTGATAAGTCCTATTTCTTCTCCTTAGAAAATATATGCTCCTTCCTCTCAACTAAAACTTTGGTTCTTGCTATACTCACCTCCATCTCCCACACTGATCCAAAACTCTTCTTTCTGACTGCACCCCAATCTTCACTATTTGTATTCTAAGTTTTACAATCAAATTTTCATCAATGGAGATTAGAGGCAGTCCCTCAAAATCCGTAATAGGCTTCTTATTCAAATCCATTATTTGCTTTCATATTTAAAATTCCACAGCTTTCCTCCTATTTTATTTTATAGTTTTTCTCACTATACAAACCATACTCTTCCAAATCTTTTACTTCTATCTTAGCTCCATCCATTCATTGTGATCTCCTATGCCTAAAATCCTCTTCTTAAAAATCTTAGTGTTTCCTTTCTATTTCTTTAAATGTTTCCTTGAAATCTTATTTTTTTTTCAAAATCTTTGACATAATCTGTTATTCTTACTCCCAACACTAGCCATGTTTAAAGTACACATTTTCCCAATATATCCCACACAATCCTTTGCCTTTTCATTCAGCTGTTTTTCTACCTGACTATTTCAAATTTAGATCCTTGGCAAAAGGAGTGTTTTTGTGAGGAAAAAAATGATTCCGTATGAAATGCACTACACAGATGACATTCTATTAACAACCATAGAGAAGCCATGTTATGCATTCCATTTTGAATGCAAACATAATCTTAATTTTGTTTCAAACCGGATTACAGAAAAAAGTTAATCGTGTTAATCAAATTAAGTGTTTTTGGCTTTACGCATTTAGTAATACATGGATGGGAAACCTGATAGCTTGAAGTCGTTGAACAACTCCCAATACTTCTCATCACTAGTCATGCTGGTTATGCTAGTCTAAGTTATAGATCAGCCACGGGGGCGGGGAGTTCCTTCGGTGAACTGTTTATTTCAATTAATGCGCGGATACAAAGTTTCCTCCAGAAATCTCTAATTCAAACGGTACTGGCAGTTCAGTACCGTCAATTGGGGGGAAGGGGGAAAATCTCTCTCTCTCTCTCTCTCTCTCTCTCTCACACACACACACACACACACACACACACACACACAAAACCAGCAGCAGGAGCGAAATCTTATAATCCTTTTCTCGAGACAAAACGAGGCAAGAGGAGGAGGACTTTCTACGGAAACCACGGTTCCGACGGGGCACCTCCAACACGTGCAGCCTGCACCGTGCCTCGAAGAAAAGAACGAGCTCCTTAATCTCAGGGCCCAAGAATATTTAGACTGAGGAAGACCCGGGACTCACGTAAAAAACGGCGGGAAACTGTACTGCCAGGGCCACTCGAAACTCATCATCGCCGCTGAGGCCGAACGGAACTTCCGCCTTGGCGGACTAACTTGTAGTCCGTCCTACAAATCATTCCACTTCCCTTCCTGCAAAGTCCTTTAAAGGGTTCCAAGGAAATGCAACCCCAGGACGCATCAATAGAGCTATACAAAGTAGAAGCTTCCGGTTTGGGTTGTGTCGACTGAAATTTTGTTTGAGATTTGTTTTGGATAAGTGCCCGACACTTGCAAGTCTGTGGAGCGCACGGCCTGTTAGCTTGCAACTAGCCGCTATTGGAATTTAAATGGTTTGGCGCGCTGGAACGTTTTCAAAGCAGTGTAATTTCTTTTGGTATACTCTGTTCTGTAATTTGGCGAGTCGCTCCCCGCCTGCATTCAAAGCAAAACATGACTTGATACAGAGTGTGTGCATTAAGGTTTCATTAAACCTTATTTGCAAAAGCTATGAAGCAATGTTAGTCCCAGACTGGTGTATTTTGTTTTGCTTTTGCAGTTGTGCGGAGCTGAACATTTCTTTGCAATGGCGAAACTACCGGGAGACATCTCTGAACCTGTTCTTTATTAATCCTTCCTATCAAAATCAGAATCCTCAAGTATAGTCTCTTCTTTCTTTCTTTTAGACTCCACTTTTTAGGAATCTAAAAAAAAATACTGTCTGCAGATCAATAAGAAATAATAAAAATTGGGAAGAGCAATTGAAATACCCGGGGTCCATTTAAATCAGCTTAATCTACACATGACCTACAAGTAAACCGTGGACTGGATGCTGAACGGAGTAGGGTCACATACGTCACACAACCCACCTTGCTACCCTACAAGGTTTGCCTTTGTAGTTGGAAAAAAAACCCTTCAATTTTTAGTGTATCTAGAAGACTAGGATTTTGTTCAAGGTAAGTTAATACTATTAATGTTACCATACACTGTGTAGCTTTAAATTACAAGAAGGCATTTTATTAATCTTTTGGGACATTTACCACTGGCATACCCATTTAGTTTAATGAGTGGAAATGTCAGCTTTCTACGTGGAATGAAATTGGCCCAATAAAACAAAATGTGGTGGCTTGTAAAAGATACTGACTTGAAACAAATTAAAGTTGAAACTTTGTCAGTGAACAGATTACTTTTAATTTACCTTTAAGTTAAACCCAATTTAATAAATAGATCTGATTAAACCTCATACTGTAGGTCGGACTTCCGGTGGTGACTGCCGCGCCGATGGCGGCTTTTTTTAAGCTGTCCGCCCTGGGGATGCGTTAAAGCCTGAAGGAACGGCGTTCAACAGCTGTTCCACGGCTTGGAGCCTCTCTCCCCGGGTGAAGGGGAGGAGGTGAGTTTTCGTGGATAGAGGTTGAGTTCTCTAGTTCTCTAAGAATTTTTTTTGGGGGAGGACGAAGGTGAGAACTCCCTCAGAGTCTGGGTTTTCTCCGCACCTCGGGCCGCCTTTGTTCTTAGGAACAAAGCCAGACGCTGCTTCCATTTCTGCTAATTATAGAGACCGTGAGTAAAATTAAAAGCAGACGGAGCTGATCAGGAGTATTGGAATTTGGATAATTTGGGACTTTAACTCAGAAAATAAATAAATATCTTCTTCATCTACTATTTAAACTACAACAAGAAGAAAAATATGGCCGTGGAATGTCGTTCTCTTGTTTGAAGTGATACTTAAGAGACTTTCACTTTTACTTGGCGTTTAAGTGAAGACAAGGAAATAATGTAACATTTGCTAGTTTATGTAAATTGCAAGCTTCCTGTTTCTTTTTTTTATTATTGTTCTTTTTATCTATATCCTGCAACTGTTGCTTTTACAAGATTATACAAGTTTTGTTTTTTTTTTTTAAAAAAAGATGGCTTCAAAACGCACTGGAATTTCTGCTCTTCCGAAAGGTCCGATTTCTTCTCCGGTTGTTCAAATTTACACAGCAACCTAAGCCTAAGATGCCTCCACCTTCTCCCCCACCGCCTGCACTTACACTTAAGGATTTACAGGATGCTTTGATGAATACAGCAAAACAAATTAGAATAGAGACAGCTGAGCTTTTTGAAGAGAAAAACAATGAGATGAGACAGGATATACTGTTAGCTTTTCAAGGTTTAGCAGCTCATGTAGAACGCTTAGATGGACGAGTGGACGAGGTGGTGGAAAATGTTGAAAGATTAGAGGACAGACTTGGGAAAGTAGAGGATAATGTGGATATAACTCAGAATGAAATTATTATGTCACAATATAGAGACATGGAATATGCTCTGAGAATAAGGGGATTGAAGGAGAATGTGCAAGAAAATTTGAAAGAAGAGATTGCAGCAGACTTGGCTATTGTTTTGGCATGCGAACCTGAAGAAATTTTGAGAGAGATAGAAATTTTTTTTAGGGTAAATTCATGGGTCGCACGACAAAGAAATCTACCAAGAGATGTTGTAATTTATTTTTCCAGAAGATCAATTCATAATGAAATTATTCAAGCCTTCTATAAACAGAGATTCCAAATTGTAGCACAAGATGTTATAATCTTAAAGGAAATACCTCCTAAAATACTTAGGAAAAGAAAGGACTTTGCTTTTTTGGCTGAAGAGCTGAAAAAATGACAAATTCAATTTAGATGGGATATACCTGTTGGAATTGTGGTGAGCTATATGGGGATACGTTATAGACTTAACACAATTTTTAAAGCAAGAGATTTTTATAGTTTGATTTTGAAGGCAGGTTCACCACTATCTCCACGATTTAGCAGAAAAAGAATGCTCGAAGAAAAAGTGGTGGAAGGAGCACCGCCATTAAGTGTAGGAGATTCACAGGTTGAATTCAAGCAACAATCTTCTGAGATAAAAGATGATCCAAAGGGACAAAGGATGACCCGTGCAGCCCATAGACATAAAGAAAAAGAGCAGCAAAAGGTGGATGATGTACCTATAATGCATCAGATTACTTCAGAGCCAGTGGGAGGTACAAGACCAAAGAGATCAGCGACAGCTGATCTTCAAGGAGTGTTCCAGAGGCTCCATGCCACTAAAAATGGCAAGGTTCCTGACATGGAATGTTAACGGTTTGAATTCACCACAGAAAAGAAAGAAAATATTTCATTATTTGAAACAACATAAGAATGATGTGTGTTTGCAAGAAACTCATATTACTTCAAAGGATCAAAAGTATTTGATTAATTCCCGGTTGGGAATGCATTTTACAGCTTCTGCTCAGCAGAAAAAAGGAGGTGTAGTTATTTATGTGAGAAAAGAGTTATCGCCAAAATTAATTGATTCTGACTTAGAAGGAAGATATGTTATTATCGAGTTATTATTGAATGGAAAAAGATGTCTTATTATTGGATTATACGCTCCAAATCAACAACAAAAACAGTTTTATAAGTTGATACATCAGAAATTAAATCAATTGGACTATAAATCTGTCATCATGATGGGAGACTGGAATGGTGTTTTAGATTCAAGCAAAGCTAATAAAGGTTCCTTTAAAGCTTCTAATTATTCTATATTACCTAAAACCTTTTTTGATTTGAAGGATGATTTGGAATTAAGAGACATCTGGCGAGAACGGAACATGGAAGAAAGAGACTTTACTTTTTCTCGGACAGGCACCAATCGTATTCCAGAATTAACTTCTTTTTAATTACTAATGATTTCTTTTCTAGGGTGAAGAATATCAAGATTTTTTCTAGAACATTGTCAGATCATAGTCCTGTATGGATGGAATTATCTGCTGAAGATGGGAATAGAAGGACTTGGAGATTAAATGAAAATGTATTTAGATATGAGGGAAATTTGCATAAATGTAGAGATCAATTGAAAGAATTCTTTTTGTTGAATATGCAGAAGGGCACCTCGATTTCAATGGTTTGGGATGCTAGTAAAGCGTACATGAGAAGTGCTCTGATTTATATGAATAGTGTGTGTAGGCGTAAACAGATGCAAAAACAAAGAGAATTAGAAGAGGAAATTAAATTAAAAGAGAAGGCTTTGATTTTAAATCCACTGGATAATAAGTTAAAGGTATCCATAACTATGCTTAGGGAGCAATTTAATATGTTAATGGCTGATCAGATTGCAACTAATTTGCGATATATGAAACACAATACATTTTGTAATGCAAATAAACCTGGTAGGTGGTTAGCCTACCAATTATGAAAGAAGCAGAAGTCAAGAATTATAGAGAAAATAGATTATAAAGGGAAAATGACATACCAACAAAATTTGATTAAAAGGAGTTTTTTTTATTTTTATTCAAAGTTATATCCCTCTGAAAATATACAACTTTCAGAAATAGAGAATTATTTACAGCAGGCACATTTTCCTAGATTATCAAATAATCAAAGGGAAGAGATGAATTGTTTAATTACTTTTGAGGAAATTATTGGGGCAATCAAGCAATTAAAGGTTGGTAAGGCTCCCGGTACAGATGGATTAACAGCAATTTATTATAAGATGTTATCTGATGAAATGATAGAACCACTAAAGGAATTGTTTAACAGTATTTTGTTGGGTGCAGAGGTACCTCTATCTTGGAGAACGGCTTTCATATCGCTGATCCCAAAGGAGGGTCAGGATTTGACTCAGCCCAAGAATTACAGACCTATATCTTTACTGAATACAGACTACAAGATTTTTTCAAAAATATTGGCAAATAGACTAATGCAAGTGTTGAGGCAATTGATTCATAGTGATCAATCTGGATTTATAACTGGAAGATATATGAAGTATAATGTAAGACAAATTGTTAATTTAATTGAATATTTGGATAAGAATAATCAAATCCCTGCGGCTTTTAGATTTTTGGATGCTGAAAAAGCGTTTGATCAATTAGACTGGCGGTTTTTACTGCGAGTCATAGAGAAAATGAACTTTGGGGAGAAATTTTTGTTTGCTCTTAGGACTATTTACCAACAACAATCGGCACAAGTCATAGTTAATGGGGGGTTAACAGAGGCATTTAAAATTGAGAAGGGTACAAGGCAGGGATGTCCACTATCTCCATTGTTATTTGTTTTAACAATGGAGATTTTTATTAATTAAAATTCGGGAATCATCTATAATAAAGGGAATAAATGTAAAT